GACAGGAGGAGAGTTCAGCTTCACTGGAGATGCGCGATTGACCAAATTTAAACTCGTGATTTCAAATTATGCTGCGCTTTATCCATTTGCCCACTGTCATATTCATGTCATTTTCACTGTGTGCTGTATGTAAAATGACTGTTACCTTGGCTTTATTTGAAAAAATATGATTCTCAATGCACACAAACTTCCCAGATTACTTAGTGCCCTGTTGGTTACAATGTTGACGTTTTGTTAAATATTTATTTATCTGTGAAAAATACATTGTCATCTAAAGTATAAGTATGTTTATTTTACACATTTATTTTTAAATCCATTTTCAAATTATTTCAAATTTCTTAAATATTAATTAAAATAAATAAAATTATATCGGCTTTATATCAGCCACCATGCTTCCCCAAGATATCGGCATCGGCTGTCAAAAAACCAATATTGGTCGACCACTAGTTCACACAGAGCACATTACCGGTAATTTACTGGTAATGTTACAACTTCTCATACCGGTAAATTGCCAGAAGGAATTTACCTGTATTTTTTGAAAAGGTCCTGTTCACACATGATCTCTTAACATTAATTTACCAGTAAAGACACCACCAAGTTCAGGTAAAATGACAAATATGCATTCATACATGGTTACCAAGTTTTAAGACTAATAACTAAAGTTCTATTAGGGCTGCACGATTAATCGAAAGCGATTGTCAAGCGCATCTTGTCAGTAAAGCCGGTTCTGTGATTAGTAGTAAATCTCCATCACCTGCTTTCAGATGGAGCAGCATTTACTAGAGCCGTAGTTCACTGACAAGCTACGCAAAATAGTGTTCATAATCGCAGACGATTTAATCGCGCGATTATGAAATCGAAGAAATCGTTCTGCAATTATGAAAGCTGTTTGCGTAGCTTGTCAGTGAACTACGGCTCTGTGTAGTAATTGCTGCTTCATCTGAAAGCACGTGAAAATACCACATTTAATGACATGTTTTTACTCCAAACTCACTTCATTCAACGTCAGTCGAGTGTTTGAAATGAATCCTTCTGTGAGATGATGTGGCTTCTTACATAGAATAAGGCACGCAACAGATTTCATAGTATTCTAAGCAGTGATAAAGTGAGTGAGTGACGTACTCGGAATTAGTGCTCTGCATTTACCCATCCAAAGTGCACACACACAGCAGTGAACACACACACACCGTGAACACACACCCGAGTTGCTATAAAGGCTATGTCGATTAGCATTGCATTATTATATACTTTATTATAATAAAAATTATAATAAGACGAACTCAGATAAACCATATATTGTCGTAGTAGTGTGTTTATTAGTCACGCTGAATTAATGAAAGCAGTTAATTCTTCGGTTTATTCAGCAACCGCTATAGGGATTTCCTGGGTTTCTTTGGCGTATTTGGAGTTTCAGCGCGAGAGCTCCCTCTGGCCTTCGGATTAAGATTTACTGCTGATCACAGAACCGTGCTTCCCTGAAAGATACACGACAATCGCAGCTTCTGCCTAATTGCGACTTATCGCCTTTGCGATTTAATTTCGATTAATCGTGCAGCCCTAAGTTCTATCATTAAATAATGCTTGACTGACAGAGTGTACTTTCCGATATTTAAAAAGCTGTGCCATTTTACAAAGTTAAGCTTAAGTTAAGCTTAAATATATATAAATAATATATCAGTCTGACCAGTAAACTAAAAAAAATTCTAGCCAATGGCGATTCTATTGCCAAAGTGTGTAGAAGGTTGCCGCTGCCACTCATCTAACCAGGAGCCTTGAGCGGATAGGGAGGGATTTTGAGCGGGATGAAGACAGCGAGGGCAGGAATGGCATGGGCACAAGTTATTTCTGTGCTCTGCGTCAAGGCAGGTGAAGAAAGGCCCAAAGCGCGCGGCTGTTTACTCGTCACATTCCTGACGACTGGACTCATTCGCCATCCAGACACGGAGCACATCATCCGCTTTATCAGGAATCGAGACAAACAAGCTGTGCACAAAGACAACATGACGCACAACCACCCCCTTCAAAACAAGCAAACTCAATCAACCATAATCCTCACAGCTGATCTGAAGAAATCCTCACTCTACTTTCACCCCAGTGCTAATATGAAACGAGACAATGCCAATATCTTACAGACCAAGGCGGTCAATGGAAGATATACACAATATCACACATTTAAATAATACATCCACAGCATTGATGCAAAAAAACTTTTTATTTTACATTACTAAAATAATTGGAAATTTGAAAAAATAGGCTAATCAATTTGAAATTGATAAATCTGTTAAAATCAAATTGAAACTTTAGATGGAGGCTTCAATGATATTGTTCTGTAATCCTATAGTGGTATGTTTTTCTCAAATAAATTATTAAAACCATATGAAAAAAGTGAAAACTGCACTCGACACCAGTAATACCAGTAATACATTTTCTCAAAGACTGGTTACTTAGCTTGCAGTAATTATACAACTACTTAGATGATGTACACAAAAAAAATCATCCAACACTGATAAGTCTAGTAGATTAATGGTCAATTAACAGCCAATATTTAGCATTTTTTAATTATCTGTATTGGTCGATAAGTAATGGAGGTGGGACTTTTATTTTGTCCAGAACAGGAGCATTCTCCGTCTTTATTCGTTAAGGTCTTTATTTAACGTTTCAGAATAAATGCTGTTCTTTTTAAAGGGGTCATATGATGTTGCTAAAAAGAACATTATTTTGTGTATTTGGTGTAATGAAATGTGTTTATGTGGTTTAAAGTTCAAAAAACACATTATTTTCCACATACTGCACATTATTGTTTCTCCTCTATGCTCTGCCTTTCTGAAACGCGTCGATTTGTACAAAGCTCATCGGTCTGAAAAGCGAATTGTGCTCTGATTGGTCAGCTATCCAGTGCGTTGTGATTGGCCGAATACCTCAAGCGTGAGACGGAAATGTTAAGCCCCTCACATACTGTTGATGCCGTGTCCGGCCGGAGCGACGAGACATAAACATTTACAGATCTTCTTTATGCACCAAGAGCTTGTAACACTTCAAAAAAAAAGGAAAAATTGAAATCGCATCAGTTGACCCCTTTAACTTTTTATTCATCAAAGAATCCTGAAAAATGTATCGCAGGTTCCAAAAAAAATTAAGCAGCACAACTGTTTTGAACATTGATAATAAACCAGCATATTAGAATGATTTCTGAAGGATCATGTGACACTGAAGACTGGAGTAATTGGATTGGATAAACTTTATTAATCACCAAGGGAAATGTATACGTCACTGCAGCACATACCACACAAATTATATAATAAATAAGAAAAATCAAAACATTCACAACAATTTGTTTTTTAAGAAATTCCACAAGGTATTATAAGTATTGTAAACAATTGACACTATAATGCAATCTATTGTCTTATGTCGCACTGATTAGCTATACAGTCTAATAGAAGTTGGTAAAAAAGACTTCCTAAAACGCTCCCGATGACAGCGAGGCTGATTTAATCTTGGGTTAAATTAACTCATAAGGGCTTGGACTGCTTCATGAAGAAGGTGACAATCATGATTCTTCATAGAAACCAGTTTCTCAATCATTCTATCCTGCGCTGATGAAAACTCAGCTTTGCATTACAGAAATAAATTATATTTATAAAATATTTTAAAATAGAAAACCATTATTTGAAATTGTAATAATTTCAAAACATTACCGTTTTTTTTCTCTATTTTTCAATCCCAAACTTTTGAATGGCAGTGTATATATATATTGACCACCCTACTTTCTAATATATCAGCATCAGCCAAAAAAACAAAATAACAACTAAATTTAAAATTAGTAATTACTAATGCTAAAATAAAAAAATGTTTTAAAAAAATAAACATTTTTTCCCCAACAGTAATGAGAGTTACAGTAGGCAACTGATATTTTTAGGGGGGAGACAGGTAACATAGCGGGTGACAAGATTTAGACTATTATCTTCACGGTGATTCTGTATGCACTGCTCCAAAATGAGAACGAGTCCTTAAGCTGCTGACCGTAATCTGATGGACGTTACATAAGACCTGATCATCATTACGGCTCGAACACAACCGACAGCAAAACCTCACTCACAAGGCAACACAAATGCCACCACGCTGTTACTACAGCAGCCACACGCACCGACTGCAAAGCCACAGACAAGCAGAAAGCAAGCGGTCATCAGGTACCTGGGCATCGGAGCATTTGCACCCGTGCGCTTTCCCATCCTCCCCAGCCCGCGGCTCGCTCTTCCTCAGCACAAAGCGCTGCTAAGAATAGCGATGAACTAAATTCACAAAACAACATGAGACTGTCAGGTGACCTCCAGGTCGAGCTGGACAGCGCCGGACAAAGACATGAAGACGCGCCGCTGGACGCGGTGAAACTGAAGAAAGTGTGATGTGGGCATAGAGAGGCTAGCACGCGCGTCCCCTCCGGACTCCCTGTGAGCAGAGGTCAGCGTCTGAACGTGTTGGGAGCGAGCGGCTGTTACATAAAGAATCCATCCAGACCGTGACGCACTTCTTGTCCACTAGCTGGGGTCGTATTTGAATGCATGCGGTGGGAATGTTTCCAGGCCACATTCCTGTCAGCTCGCTCAAGCAGAGCCTACTGGAGTCCAGCGAGGACAATAATAGCTCAAGCTCTGTGAATGCGCACAGCTGCTGGTCAACAGCACATCAACTTACAGCATCCGTCACTAAACCAGCCTTACAACACACACACACACTTCACTTTCTGCAGTGATCGAATCCATCGAAAGCCAGAAATTTTAGTCAAGTGTAAAATTAAGACTGACACCACGTTCAGCTCATAAGTAGGGATATAACGATTCACTCAACTCAAGATGTGATATGATTCACGACACTGATTTAACGATACAAATTTTAACAAAACGAGATTGAAGACAATTTATAAATGAAAACATGTCCTTTTATTATTTCTCAGACAAAATGCTGCACATTTCTTTGTGAAATTGAAATGTCAAATAACAAAACTAAATTGAAATTGTAAAACAAATCACAAATCAAATAAATAATACAAATCTCACATCCCTACTCATAAGATGCAACTAACAATCATTTTTCACTTATAAATACTTTCAGCCAGAGGATGACCAATAGTGGATTTTGCATATGAAGTCATCTGTCCATCGGTCCGCAGTGAAACGCAACACAACAACAGCAAAAAGATGATGTTTAAGACCAAATCATTTGTAGTGAGATCAGTGAGATTTCACTGGGAACACGATCATTCCAACGCAGCATGACATTACAGGACAAGCGGCCATGTGCATCGTTTGAAAAGACCCTCATGCAGACCATCTGCAGCACGACAACTAAATCTGACTGTGCAAGACCCAGCTTTAGTCACTGTATCTATGAGTCCTGGCCGGCACAACATACAACACCACAGTCCACACTCACATGCTGTACAGTTCAAGAATGAGACATCAGTGAAGCACATCATCATGAATCACTCACTGAGTTATCGTCTCATCTCAAACTCTCTCTACCCGTCACGAGCACACAGAAACAGACGCTTGATGACAGCAGCAATACTTCAGTCACAGGCGGCTGAGCGCACAAACATAAACCAAGAGCCCTATGATTTCAGCGATGCAGAAAACGAAGACAGAATCACGGAATTCAGTCATAAAAATTTAATTTTTTTGTATAGCACATAATTTGGCAAATGTTGGATGAATAGTAAGGCTGTTCACAATATGGACTATTGTCTGTGAATATTGAAGCACAGAAAGACTGCTGTAAATGCGAAGTCTGCTGTGCAAGTCTCAGTTTGCTCTGCTACACAAACATACTGAAGCTTGTATGCGTCTCAATATATGCAGGTAGGGCTGTCGCGGTGAGGGAATTTCCCTTGCGGTAATTTTGAGTGGCTCAATAGCGCGGTATGCGGTATTACCGCCATACACACACACACACACACATGTATATACAGTGTATATATATATATATATATATATATATATAATTTGTGTGTGTATGTGTTACGATATAATTAACGAGGTCATATTCAGAAGACAATGAAACCGAAACCAAATAGCGTTGAAACAGGAAGTGAAGTAAACAGAAGAGAATGACAAAATAACGGTCCACATAACAGAACATAAACCTGACAATAAGATCGTTAGGACATGCATGAAGTGTAAAACGAGAAGGGCATAACCTTACGAAAAAAGAAAACACGCAAAAATCGCGGTTGCTGCGGTTCTTGCATTCCTCTGCGGTTTGCTCTTCAATAGCGCGGTATTGCGATATTACGGTTATCGCGACAGCCCTATATGCAGGGCAATAATATTGTTTAATAGATTATTGAACACTTAACATTTTAAGAGTACAATGGACTAGACTTCCTTTTTGATTATAATAATTTAAATTAAACCACTGAAATTAGATTTAAAAAAAATTTAAACAGATTTTGGGAAAAAATAAAACAAATTCATAGGACCCTAGATAAAACGTAAGCAATTAACTGATTTAAAAAAAACAAAAAAAAACAACAACAACATTACTTTGCTGATTAATTGCTGCAGTTAGTACAGTTGCATGGGAAACACTATATTTGCTTCCAAAAGCGTGTCTGGTGTGTGTAGAGATGGCGGGAGGTCTCCGGGTCTGGCTGAAGGTAAGCACTGGCAGAGCACACAAAGCTTTCAGGCTCAATCAAGAACGATTTGTCCTGCCAAAGAACCAGAAATGTGAGCAGCCCTTTGGTTCTTCTGAGCGGGGTAACCCATGTAGCTGCCCTCTCTGCTATCTATGGGCTCTTTACACACGATGGGCCAACAAAACCACAGAGAGAACATAATTTCACCAAGTTTATGTAATTAATGTTTCACATATTAACTGAATGAAGTGTTCATATTCATCTGGATGAAGATTCTGCCTGTAGCGACCTCAAATGAAAGCGGGGAGACAAACAAACACACACGAGGAGACAGTGGTGTGGAGAAGATATAATCCAGGATGAGAGGTCAGAAGGTCACTGCACACACTCAAATACTACGGTACGTTCAGCTGCTGTCCTGATCTTATGGCATTCAATGATAACACTGCTGTCTGTGTGAACAGTCACTTGTCCTAACATAACTTTAAAGGGATAGTTCACCCAAAAATTAAAATGACCCATGATTTACTCACCCTCAAGCCATCCTAGGTGTATATGACTTTCTTCTTTCAGACGAATACAATCGGAGTTATATTTAAAAATGTCCTGGCTCTTCCAAGCTTTATACTGGCAGTGAATGGGTGTTAATATTTAATAGTCCAATAGAAGTCCAATAAACTGCGCCAATACATCATAAAAAGTGCTCCACACAGCTCCAGGGATTAATAAAAGCCTCCTGAAGCATATCGATGCATTTTTGTAAGAATAATATCCATATTTAAAACTATAAACCATAATCTCTAGCTTCCGCTAACTGTTGTATGCACGATTTTATTTGTAATGGAGAGGAACCCGTGGGGCATGTTTCTGTCAACCTAACGATGTCTATCATACCCTCTTTTACCTTGTTTCTTCGTGAATTTGTACTTAAAGTAGAAAGACGGAAAACTTGTGCTCCTCTTTGTCAAAGTAGACACCATTTAATGTTGTCCTGATTTACAATTGTGTTCATCAATTCTTCCATTTTAAATTGTTCACTTTTATTTCCATGTTAGTAAGCGTGTCTTATGATGTTGATAATTTCCCTGTCTCGTAATATAAAAGAATACCACTGTGGTTCTCAAACAGGGGTCCGGGACCCACTAGGGGCCACAAGATAACTTAAAATTAGGGATGTGCGGGTCTAGTCGACTAAACGGTACAGCTCCTACTAGTCGACACTGAAAACAATAGTCGATTACACGACAGAAAAAGAAAAAGAAAAACATGATTTTATCATTCAAATTACCATCATTTTAACATTGCATTTAAAACATTTTAATTAATTAATTAAGTTAAAATAAAACTTTTGAAAAACAATACATTATTTTTAAAAGTTTATCTGGGCGGAAACAACATTTTTACCTCAGACCTCACATGCGTTTTCTTCGTACACCATTTAATGTTGTCCTGATTTACAATTGTGTTCATCAATTCTTCCATTTTAAATTGTTCACTTTTATTTCCATGTTAGTAAGCGTGTCTTATGATGTTGATAATTTCCCTGTCTCGTAATATAAAAGAATACCACTGTGGTTCTCAAACAGGGGTCCGGGACCCACTAGGGGCCACAAGATAACTTAAAATTAGGGATGTGCGGGTCTAGTCGACTAAACGGTACAGCTCCTACTAGTCGACACTGAAAACAATAGTCGATTACACGACAGAAAAAGAAAAAGAAAAACATGATTTTATCATTCAAATTACCATCATTTTAACATTGCATTTAAAACATTTTAATTAATTAATTAAGTTAAAATAAAACTTTTGAAAAACAATACATTATTTTTAAAAGTTTATCTGGGCGGAAACTAAATTTTTACCTCAGACCTCACATGTGTTTTCTTCGCGTCAGTTGCGACGAGTTCAAAAATGACCATGCGAAAGACGAGCAAGGTGTGGGATTATTTGAATTAGAAGGAAACTGAAAGAACTACAACCCTAGTATTCACAGGCGTTCTCTCATTAGCTGATTTTAACACACATCCTGCGAACAGCGGAAACAGAGCTTTATTTAATTTAAAAAAAAAAAAAAAAGGGGGAAAAAAAAGACATGCCGTCTACTGTATTTAAAACTTCCACGGAGTGAAACTCAAGTACCTGATGCAATATCTGATGCCAAGGTTTCAGAGGGCACACGTAAAGGAGAGAGGCTGAGAAATATATAATTAAAGTAAATTCTTTGTGATGACCTTAAGCACATATTATACAGTGCTTGTCAAAAGTTTGGAAACATTACGATTTTTAAATGTTTTTAAATCAAGTCTCTTGTACTCAACAAGGCTCAAAATAAATTACAATTACAATAAAACAAAAACATTTCTATTGTAATATATTTTAAAATGTAATTTTTCCCTGTGATGTGTTTGTGTTTAATAGAAATTAATGCTTTTTATTCAGCAAATATGAAAAATGACAGTGAAAACTTTTATAATGTTACAAAAGATTCTATTTCAAATAAACGCTGTTCTTTTGAACTTTCTATTTATCAAAGAATCCAGAACAAAAAAGTTTCCACAAAATATTAAGTTGCAAAAACATTGATAAAAATGTAAACCATTATTAATAACTGATCTTCAATAATAAAGCAGCAAATCAGCATATTAGAATGATTTCTGAAGGATCATGTGACACTGAAGACTGGAGTAATGATGCTGAAAATTCAGCTTTGCATCACAGAAATAAATTACATTTTACAATATATTCAAATAGAAAATAGCTATTTCAAATGACAATAATATTTCGTAATATTTATCAAATAAATGCAGCCTTGATGAGCAGAAGAGACTTCATTAAAAACTTTTAAAAATCATGTTTCCAAACTTTTGACAAGTACTCTCTCTTTATATATATATACACACACATACACACATACATATACATATACACACACACACACACCCCTAACAGTATACATATAATTTGAATAGTCTGTGTATATATGCATGTATAAAGGCCTTACCAAATGGGTGACAAAGAAAACGATTTCTCTTCAGCAGGGTTTAATGATAGTTCTGCATAAAATAAATGTCAAACAGCCTTTCATATTGACAACACGGCTCTAAAACATTTGTGTGAAATGCATCAGCAGTCACTGCATTAATAGCAGCTATGAATGATAAACAGCCATGACATACCGAGAATGGAGGAGAGATTCGGAGGCTGCTGCAGCGCTAACTCCTGCGCATGGCTGTGATCTAGAAGAGTTGAGTTTTTCACGGTGTTCATCATCCCATCTTCATCAAGTAAGGCCGTCCCCTCATCTGAGTGTCATGAGAGATACCCAAACAGTAATGTTCACTGCAAGCACTAGAAAGTCAAACATTGCATCTAATGATTTGTTCTGAGACACTGACATACATTTTTGGCTGAACTTTTAATCAGAGTTCTAAAACTAATTATACCATAATTGTCAGTTTTGCGAAACTCCTCGATGGATGAAAGCGTCGAGTCCGTGTTTGAAGCTGGAGAATCAACATCCAAGCAATCCAACAAGAAGCTGGAAACACCAGAGGGCATCGTTAGACCTGGTCAAGAACAGAGAACAGATCTGCATAGGTCTGTGAGGAAATATAACCACTCAAAGCATTGAACAGGGAGCTTCAAAACCAACTTGTGGAGTCCTGGCTGAAGTCCTTGGAGGCACTGGGAGTCGACATGCCCTGCTGAGAGCAGAGGAGAGTTGTTACACTACTAGACACCATATGGCTGTCTGCAGACCCAGTCTGACTCGTACAGCTTGCAGATTTTAGACTCATTCACACAAACTCCTTGTTAGAGCTCAGCAGTGATAGAGCGCTCGTACCTCAGCATGACCTCTCCTGCATCCTGAAATCAACGACTGGCCATTCAGACATCTTCCACCTGCCTTTATAGCTCTGGAACTGAAATTCGCAGAATAAAGAAACGCATTTATCACTTTAGTAGCAAACATGATGCTCATAACCATCTTCCACCATGCCAGTGAAGGTTTAGCTCATGAATATTAAGTAGTTCATGCTGTGTTGCATGATAATGTTCCACATGTGTATGCGAGATTTGAATGAGGCTGCACCCAAAATCACATATTTCCCTACTATATAGTAAGTAAACAAAAAAACAGTATGTGACAAAATAAATGTGTCCGAATTTACAGTATGCATTAAAACAGTAGGCAAAACATTCCTGGATGACCTATTCTTTCAGTGAGATTGTGAAGCGTGCATGTGATGGACACTTTACTATCCCATGAGGCCACAGGAGAGGATTTGTGAATGGCAGTGAAGTGACACAACTGACGCTGGTAGGTCACATGTAATGATAACATGGCAAATGTTGTACATCTGAATATTTTCACACACATACAGATTTAATTGATTTCTTTCCTTAATTGCATTGGATGCTTTAAAATACGAGGCACCAATGTTTCAGGACACATGCTTATTCGATAACTGTTTTATTTCCTATTTGGGTTTATGTGTATGCTTTATTTTTTAAGATTAACTTTTTTTCCCCAAGGCATTGTTAGATGCCAGTGTTTCCTGTCATAACTATGCATAGATTTGATTTCAAAAACAGCATCATAGCCAGTAAACTATATCTTGTTATGAATTTAAATCTGTATTTAACCTCACAACGATCTCAAAGTAAAAAGCGGTGCTAAAGTCGGATTTTGTGGTGGCTGTGCTTTAAAATTACATTTTTATCATCTTAATTCAAGTGAAGGATTTTGAAAGTCTGACAGTAATTAGTGTTGAGTACTACTGTAATGTTAACCCTGCCTTCTTTAAGTATTTGAAAATACAACAGTTGAAAACATTCATTAGAAAAGTACTAAAAAAGTAATCAAATAAGATCAGTTACACTACTTTAATAAAGTGATTGGAATGGTTACACTACTTATTACATTTTAAATAGGGTAATTTGTAATCTGTAACCTATTACATTTCCAAAGTAACCTTCCCAACACTGGCAACAACACTGTTGACTTTTATAAAGACAATAACAAATCAGATCATTATGCAAAAACAGGAGCAGAGTTAATTGCATGAAAGACTCACGACTGGCAGATCAAAATTGTTCGAGAAGCGCAAATATACTTAAATAAAACATGGAGTGTATATATGAGCAGTGTTGGGGAAAGTTACTGTTAAAAGTAATGCATTACAATATTGCGTTACTCCCTAAAAAAGTAACTGATTACGTTACTTAGTTACTTTTTATGGAAAGTAATGTGTTACGTTACTTTTGCGTTACTTTTTAAATCTGGACAGGGCTTGCTTGTTTGTTTTTAAAATAAAAAAAAAAAGTTATATTTTTGGCAAATATAAAAGCCTTTTCACACCAAAAGTGAAATGAATAAGCCTCAGGCTGAAGGGAAAGTAAATTTCCATGCCTTTGAAAATCTAGGAGTTAAAAAATGACAGTTATAACGTGTCGATAATTAGCGCAGAATTAGATGTGAAACGCTTCATACTGTAGGACGGCGCAGCTCTCATTGGCGTCACGTTGCGCCCGGGTTTTTTTCCACTTGACGCTTTCCTAACAATCATACTTGAGAAACTATACTACAATCGCACAAACCCGATCTTTAACTGTTGCGGTCGTTAAAGTGGGCGTGGTCCACAAATTAACAGCTGAGCGCTCGAGGAACGTTACCAGGCAACGTTAGTATAATTTATCAGTCCTAATCACTGATCTATATATGTTATATATTATAGATCAGTGGTCCTAATACATATTAAGCCGTGAGGTAATAAAGCGCTTAGCTGCCATAAAATGATAATAGAGCTGGGAAACCTTCTTTCTTTATTAGCCCATGTTATTAAATAATTATATAATATAAACTGAAATGCTTACAAATGTCATGTGAATAAATTTGCAAAACCAATAACTGAAACAAATAATTGTGCTTGAGTTACTAAACACTGGTGATGTAGCTGTGAAACACAATGTCGTCATCATACATAGAGACCTTCAGTAACTGTTGGTTCTGCAGGACTAAAATATTTCAGAGCTGGAAGACTTTGGGCATGTAATGTCACTGCTGTTTTCATGTTTATTAATGTTTGTTCATGTAATGCAGGGATTCTCAAACACTTTTGTCAGCCAAACCACTTGAAATAAAATATTTACTTGAAATATCTCTGAGGAAGTTAATATTCCAATAATTTAACAATTCACATGTCTGATGTCGGTTAATTCCATATAAGAGGCTGGTGCAGAGGGCCGGGCGAACTTAGTTGATGTCCATTTCAGGAAGCTTGGCCTCTGTGGTTTCTGGGGCGGCTTGGCCCTTCTCTGGGTTGCCCGTTTGGGCCTCTGAACCCTCCTGTCCGTTAACAGGGCCATTCTGTTCGGCTGCCGTCTCCTCCTTTGGAGGCTCCACTTTGGGCTTGGGTTTGGTGACGATATGATTGCAAGCAGAATACAGCTCCTGTGTAATGATGAAGATATAGTTAGAAGATTCAGTTCTCAAGAGGACATACATGGGCCAAAACCTGCTAAGCGAACTGAAACAACAGGTTTAAAAAGTGATTTTTCACTATTATTTATAGCAGGATCTGCATTTTCATGGGTTTAAATAAAAGATTTGGGTTATAAGAGACAATAAAGACAACTTTGTGCATCAAAACCACTCCTTACCTAGTAAAAAATTAACTTGATTTACAAAAGTTAACAAGTTTGCAACAGTAAATGTTACAGAACGTAACATTTTTGACAAGCCAATCATGTCAGTGAAGTCATGAAGTTAGCTTCATTCTGTAAAAAAAGTATAATGAGCGACACAGAAAGCATTTCGAACATCTCCAACGTGTTTTATAATACCCAGAAATCAAACATATTCTCACCCCTTACACACATGATCACGTCCATCATACGCATGCAAATGCGGGAGAGCGGAAAAGCAAGCTCATGCGAAGTTGCTGTGTTCCAAAGTTCAAGTTTGGTGAACTGTGATCTGCGAACTCGTATCAGATTGATACGTCATAAGCATGACCTCATAGCTGAATTAAAAGAACAGAAATTTAATTCTGCAGCACAAGTTTTTAAAAGGACTGAAGAAATTTTGCACGCTCGACGTCTAGTGTGACCGCAGCTTTAGGCCGGTTGCCGGTTGGAATGTTAGAACTAAAAACATGGACATAACACTCACAGGCATCAATCACTTCACTAAATACCTGCTGCTGGCTAAGAAATAATAATTACTACCTAAAGATCCATGTGTTTTCCAATCCACAAATTTGAATATCATGACATCAATGTCTGTCAAAAACAAATGTGCACAATACACAGTAGTATTTACAAGAAGCGGTCCAACGAGTACATGCATATCCTGGAAAAACCACACTGCCAGATGTTTTGACTACGTCATCGTCATCTTTCGGAGAAGGAGAAAATAGCGGTCCGAGCGGCTTCAACATGCTGTTGTCAGAGACCTTAATGTACGTAATACACAAGGATTTACATAATACATAGTTTTTGTTTTTTATGTACAAACCACACATTCTGACTATGATTCTGACATTCCTAATTTGAATATTTTCAATAATTTTTCATAATTTTGGCGATAGATTAAAACTGTTAAATGAGTGATCATGAGATGAGTCCATGTAGTCGTCCAATTTGATTCTCATATGCTGACATTTCTGGAACTTGACGTTTTTTTTTTAATAAAATGTAGTTTGATCAGTATCTTCTCACTATCTTCAAAGTTTGATCAAATTTGGTTTCATTTTACAATAAAACATTATACATTTTTACATGATTCGTTACATTTAAGTACCCCTTAGCTGATTTTGAGCCATACGGATAACCAAAATACTAAAGTTTGTACCTTTGTTTTGGCCTGAATCTCTTGGGCTTTAACCACAGGGTCCTGGCTGAGACTCTGTTTGCTCTGCAGATTCATTTTGTTGTTCATCCAGGTCATGGCTTCATTCATCTGCTTGTCCACCTTCATCATCTCCAGCTCATCCAAATGATCATACAGCTCATCCTGAGTTTTGAGAATTAACAAATAATGTGGTTCATCCAAATGTTTTCAACAATGTTACCCTATGAAAGAAACTAATGGGGTTTAAAAGACACTTAAAGGCAGGGTAGGTGATTTGGTTCAAAAACATTTTTTGTTATGCTGGTTGAAAGTCTCTTCACATCCCGACAGCAATCACTAATTTAACTGGTCTAAATGTATTTATATTGTCTGTGGAAGTCATAGGACACAAAATGTTCGTCCAATCATATCTCTCAGTCCGAGGGCTACGATAGGCTGTCCTACCTGCCTGTCAGTGTATGTATTTGCAAACCTGCACGCACCCTGTTCACACAGACATGATATATCATCAGCGCTTTCCATTATGCTACTGCAGAGCAAGCGAGAATGGAAGCCGTTATTATTGTAATATTTTGCACTTTGTACAGTAATTTTTTGCGACATGAGGTAATCTGACAGCGTTGCATTCAATCCTCCACCAACGCTGTCTCTCATCGTGTCGCTGGTTAGCCTCTGATCTGCCTGTGTTTTCGAGGAGGCGTGGCTTTGGAGAGTGATTTGCAGGGAGGGTGAGATCTTATGCTTTCAAAGCTAGCGTGCTATTGCTAGCCTCTCCGAAATCACCTACCCTACCTTTAATATTCAGCAATTTTTTTAGATTCAACTGCACTGACATATTGGATGAAAACAAAACAAGCACTAACTTTGACACCGTTATTGAAATAAACTAAATCTTGAGCTGAAAAAAAATTACTCTTGTCTTCTGTAGAGCTGCTTTACAGCTGAAGTTAAATGTTTCAATTTAACAATATTATTACTCTTATTTTACTGTTTGCTAATGTGAAGCTGCTTTGAAAAAGTCTGTATTGTATAAAACGCTATATAAATAAATGTGACTGGACTTAATGAGTGATTACCTTGGCCTTATAAGCCTCGACGACTTTCGTGTACTGCTGGATTTGCCTTCCGAGCTCATCCAAAGCTTTTGGCCGCTCCTCTGCCTCCGTGTATCGGTTCTGAATCGGCTCTCCCAGTTTCTAGGAGCAAATGTTTTTTTTTGTTCATTCTTTTTAAAGGTCGACAGTTTCAAATGTCAACAAATCAGTCACACATCCACACCTACCTTCAACTCCACCAGTTTATCGATGTATACTTGCTTCTGCTGGTCCTCTCCTTCTTCATACAACCAGTTTTCAGTGTCCTCCAGTTTCAAGGAGAAAGAATCTCGATCCTGAATTGAAAGACGTTGCTTAATAAAAACCATTACTTATAAACACAGGTATCTTTATGAATGAAGGCAAATGCATGTAGACACTCACAGCCTCGCTGACAAAGTTCTCCAGCACTCCGTGCAGTTTGTCTCTCATTTCATAAACATATTCCTCCACATAGTTCTTTGCATCGTTTCTTTCTTTCTCCAGTTTATCCTGCATAATCATCTTCCCCTACAGGCAAGAAAACACAACGTCAGCAACCAACTCTAGAAGAGGCGCCTGGATTGGCAGACAGTCATTTATCAGTGTTCAAGTGTTTAAATTGTTTATGATTTAATTAATTGTTCATTTTCACTTACAAATGCACTGTAGTTCTTACATTAAGCCCAGTTCAGGAAACACTGGTGTAATGTAATGTTTAATGCATTTTATGATGTTGATATAAAAAATGTATATATTTTCTTTCTCTTTGCTTTTTTATTTCAATATGTTACATTTAATGGTAAAGTAGATAAAAAGTAATCTATAATAATAACAACCTAAAATGAGTAACCTTGATTAAGTTACTAACTACAGTTTTCATCATGTAATCTGTAATCAGTAACAAACTACAATTTGTAAGTAATCTACCCAGCACTGATTAAGTCATTTTTATATTCCAGTAAACTTTATCAAGCGATATGAAGAAGAAAAAAAGAATAAAAGAAAGTTGCTTGGTTTTATAAGTGACTTTTGTGTGAGTGGTGTTTCATGCACATGCAAAAGGGAACAAATCCTTCAGTGTTTCTCCTAAAGCTGCACGATTAATCGTCAAAAGTCTGCAATCTCGAATAAAACCCCCACATGATCTTATTTCTAAATGTCAAAAGTTTAATAGACACAGGCAAATCATTGTCAAAGTCATGCCAAAACATTAAAATCTGCGTTCGCGCTGCCGAAACAGCTTCACAAACAGCTTCTTTTCAACCACATAGTCATTCATATTAATCACAGAAGTACTGGGATAAAGGTTTATAGTTTGGATATAAACACTGATGTCTACTGTAGCAATCCAAATGGAGTAAATCACCTTTTAAAAAGTATTTAGCTCTTCAAATAACATTTGTTTTGATTGACACTAGGTGGCGACAATTGACTGTCATAAAAAATTATTTGTCATGGATTCATTCATTTTAAAGATTCGTTCAAAAACACGGATTCATCCAGTAATGAAACAAGTCAAGTATTTATGAGTGAATCATTGAATCGTTCATTCAAACCAATTTTTCTTAATTCATTCAAATTAAACATTTTAATAGACTGCAGCAAATACAGCCTCTAGTAAATTACATGCTATTTTACTTTAGTTCAGAATCGTGGGAGAATCATGATCTCTTTTTGAAACAAATCGTGCAGCTCTAGCTTCTCCTACAGAACGCTAATCAGAGAAACTGATCGCTGTGGTGTGGTTCGAGTGCTTTGCGCATTGTGCCGTACCTCATTCTCCACGAACAGATTGAGCGCTTCACCGGCCAGCTGCCAGTTCAGGCTGTTCTCGATGGGAAGATCCACCGTCTTTGTTTTCACTTTGGCTTTCTTGGCTTGTGGAGGCTGTTCATTCTTCTTCTCCTCCTGTTTGTTGTCTTCTGTTGAAGTCTAAAAGTCATTATAGTTAGTTAATTTCCCATTTTTCATTGCAAACATTAAGTGTTGTAGAGCAGTGGTGGGTTGTGGGATTCAAAGGGGGAAAAAAGGCTCCCATGTCTTTGTTATTGATGTCAAATTGTGTCCAATCAGACTTTGTTTTACCATTAAACAGGCGAAGTGATGCAGTAATCCAACGCATTATGTCCGTTTAATCAATCGCATGACTCTTCCTGTACTGTGTATTTTGGTCAAATCAACATTTATTTGTTTCTCTCAAAGTTTTCCTCTCCACCATACGGAGTTATTTCTCTTGCCACAGATCTCCAGTTCACCACTGCCACTTAAATCTTCTGTAAAACTGCTTTGAAACAATGTGTATTGTGAAAAACACCATTGAAACCATGCAATGTTCAAAGACTGTCCAGACTACAAAGCACAAAAATCACAACAATGTGTTTCCTGCAGTGAATAACTGGCTGTCGAGAGTCTGAAACCAACAAATTACAAGATACAGTTATGAACCAAAATTGCTAATTTTTCCTACCTGTGTCATTTGAATCATTTTGTATGAAATCGGACCAATGCAGTTCACTTTTGATACCGTGTTGGGTTGCCAATGCAAAATGTGGCTTTTCTCAAACATAAGCCTGGTATAATATTCATGTGAGGGCGCATACAAGCTGTACAATGCCATTTAAAAATTACATTTTTGATTTTATGTCCCTTTTTTATTCCTTGGTTTCTTTTACATTTAGATATTTCATATGACAATAAAATGCAAATAATAAAAGCATCAGTCTGTCAGAAGGAATGAACTGTTTTTACATGCACAACAGGCAGGCTGCAATTGGAAATGCATGCTTTGTATTTGTTGAAATGCTGTATATTTGGTGTTGGTGTGCAAGTGTATTCACACACCTCCATGTCTTCAGTGTCTGATTTCTTATCAGCATGTTCTTTCTGATCATCTCCTTGAGCCTTCTGTACTTCCTGATCCACTTGCATCTTGTTCTTTAAAGAGCAAATACAATGAATGTTCACAGGGTCTTGTAAATGACTATGGCCACAAACACACTCGAGCTTTAGGAGTCATTTTGAATGGTCTTATAAACTTTTGTTTTTGCATCTCACAAGTGTAAATGTATGGAAGATTATTTCCACCACAGAATGAAAAATAAATTAATAATAATAGCAACTGCGACTTTTTAGGCTCACAATTCTGACCTTTACCCCCCCCCCTTCACACTTCTGAATTCAAAGGGAAAAAAAGTCAGAATTTTGAGTTTAGAACTTGCAACTTGCAATTTGCAATTTTGAGAAATCTAAATTGTGAGAAATTTGCAAAGACCTTTTTTTTTAATATTTTTATTCTGTAGCAGAAATAAGCTTCCATATAAGCTTCAGCTATGGTTATAAATCTCAACAGTATTCATTTCAGGAGAGACTCCTGTATTCTGTACACACGCAGAAGGACAGTAAGGGGATTCCCTTCCACGTTTACATTTTTTTCTAATGCTCACAAAACAAGTCTAATTTTTAGAGCTAATTCTTTAGAGCTAACTGCTCTGTGCCAAGTGGATCCCCTGATGTGATGGGATAAGACAAAACCATTAGAAATGCCATCAGCAGTGATGACTTTACCTCATCTTCTTTGACTGGAGTGTCCATCTCCATGGGTTCCTCTCCCTCAGCAGACTTCACAACCTCCACCAGGGAGGCGCTGGACACACTGAAGACCCCATGCACATTCACACGCACCTTCACCTTCACCTTCGAGCTCTCGCCTGACGGCTGAGGCACCACCTTCTGGATGGTAAACTGGCCTGCGGCAGGAAAAATGAGCCAATAGGGTTGCACAATTAATCATAATCATGATTTATGGTTCTCTCGATTAAGCATAATTGTCTGTGAAGCTAGCTCGCTGATTGAATCCTGTAAACATTGTTTTTTATTTGACATTTACATTATCTTGCATTGATAACAAGCCTCCGGTTGACAGATATCAAGAGATTAAACTCCCAATAATGTATGCAAACTCTTAGATGGACTTTTTCAGCCCATCTTCACAACCTGGCAACACAATCATCTTGAGCACACACACTCTCTGCACTACAAAAAATGCGCTGATGATCTGAAAACATTGACAAACAAGTATGTTGGAGTTTAGCGATCTCCATTGCGATTCCTTCACAGGGCCGCTTGTGCAGTTTGCTGCAAATAAACCTGTGAGCAAACCTTCTCAGTGATGAACTGTATTAAAGCCAAACATGAAACGCAACTATATTGTTTGCGACTGTGGTTGCTGAATCAATGCACTTACACTCTGTGCTACATTACAAAGTCTTTAATGGAAAATCATTAAACGAAAAGAAAAAAAAAATGCAAATAAATTTTTTTATGAATGCACATACTGTAAAATAAAATGCAACCCGTTTGTTTGTTATTTTCACACTTTATTAGAGTAAAATGATCGGCTTCTGAATATGACTTTTTTGTTTTGTTTTGTATGGACTAGTGTAATGTACTAAATGAAGCAGTACTGTGCAGAGCATTCCCAACACACCTATGGTAGGATCCGAATATGGCAACTCTTTGGGATTGTTGTAGTAGGCCTCTAAAGAGAAAGGCTCCCTCCGGTAGAAAGTTAACACTTTAGAGAAGGGGGCGGCATGGTTCTTCGGGAAAACTTCGCAATCACTGCAGTGCAAGACAGCATGTGACTATTAAAACAGTGAACTAAGAGTTAATCATGACACACACAGAACCAAGAACGCACCTGACGCCTTCATCAGCTGCTGAGGTCCACTTCAGAGCGATGGGGTAGGGAACCACTTCTGTGATGGAAAACTCGCGCACTTTGAAGGCGGGCGACAGGATTGCACACTGAGGAACAATGAACATTCGTTTGCAACACTAGGAAACACTGTAGGCAGTTATTATGAGAAACAGCAGAAAAATGAACTCTTATGTTGTACTGGTGGTACAAACCATCACAGGAAGTTATTTTCACAATTCTGTGGTTACAAAATTATTTAATCTGATAATTATACATTTAAAATGATATTAAACAGCTTTAATGTAGCTACTTGCATTTTGTTAGTAGCCTGGTAGGGTTGCACAGCCAGTTCTTAAATTGGAACGTAAATTTCACACTTAAGGCTTAGTAACTACTAGCTCGTTTGTAACTCTGTACTTCGTTTGGTTGCACCATTTGCTCTTAAGGCAGAATGTAATTAGTTGGTCGTAAGCTCTCCGTAAAGTAACGTGCAGTCACATAATGATCCAACAGCTTCAGATCTATGAGCAGAATTGACTATTTCAGTTTATCCTGTCCTGTTCTCTGTGTAGGGTGTTTAACGGTCGGTCTGTAAGAACTGACCGTGGACAGGAGAGTTGTGCTGTCGCTGGACACCAGTGATCGAAAAACTTTAAATCAGTGCACACTTACCAGATTACTGAGTGCACTGTTAGTTACAGCGCTTACTTCCTTTATTCATATTGCTACCAATTTCATTATTTGTGGTGGGGAAAAAAAACATAATAGAATCACTTTATACCATGGTCTGTCTGAATACTGGATTCTGATTGGCTGGCAGGTATACATTAAAACTGTTTAATGCACAGGTAGTTCCAAGTCAGTTTAATCACGTTCTATAGTAATGAGCTGCTTTCATTGATGCACACACACACACACAGAAACATTTGTGAGTATAGAAACTTGTTGTTAACGCTGCTCCGCGACTTTTATTAATAAAATAGCTTTGATACTAAATTATGTTTCTCAGCAACAAGGAGGTAAAATCGCTGTTTTTGAAGTAACTAAACAGCTTCATTGTTTGTAGAGAGAGATGCACAGATGCAGGTAATTCACACACACAACTTTCATCTCTCTTTCTCGATCGATAATTAATTCAAATAAATGCTATAATTTATTCATTCAAATAAATGCGATCTTACCTCTCTATTTCATCTCTGTGTCTGATTTAAAGCGGGCAGAATAATGAGCCGTAACTGATGAAAATAACCGTCATTTTTACCGTTCCGGTCAAATATTGCGCTGCAAAAATCATTAACCGCTTTAACTTGACAGTGCTGGCAAATGTCCATGGTATAAGCAGGATAATGCACGACTAGCGGTGCATTAAATGAATTTGATGCACTGCTTCGTGTCGGGTGGTTCATTGCCTCCACACCGTGCATTAAATTAGTAAATTATAGCGGTGGATTATCCCTTAATTATTTTACAGATTAATTATAATTTTTTTAATCAACTGAATTTTAAAATTATATAATTCAGTAAAAGTTATGTAAAACAAATAGAAATTAAATTGCAGCAATTGCCATGTATGTGTGTTTACTATCTTTCAATTAAATAGTGTGATATATATATCGAGTTTATATCAGCCATGTGCCACTCTGCGCTCGAAGATATCGGCATCGGCAATCAAATAGTCCATGACCGAGAACTAACTTGCAGTGCACATCCTCTGGCCACAGCCTCGTCCGCATTCAACGTCGTACTCAGTTCCTTTCCGAAAAATTTGCTGATTCTGTCTTTGATGGCTGGAGTCCTGGAGGCGCCGCCCATGATCTCCACTGCATAGATGTCCTCTTTCTTCAGTCCTGGTTATAGGAGGGGGAAAAAAACATAATACAGTGTTTAACAAGTCAAACATAATACGGTCAAGATGGCCGAGATACCCGTGTAGTCCAATATTTAAACACATGCGATATGTCAAATACAGACACTTCAATGTATTTACAGAATCATGTTTCACTGAATAGGTTATTTATTGTACTGTGATAAAGCCCAGATCTGTAAGCATTAGCAGAACTAAAGGTGCCGGAATAAACGTGAAGTGCATGTCAAACGCTGTCATCAAACGTGAAACAGCGGTGTCGTCATCAGAGCTCAAACTCTTCTCATAGTAATTACGTCACAGCTATTCTCTGAAATGTTTTTCTCTAAATTTATAAAAGCACATAGAAAAATTTAATTATAGCTTATCTCACTAATCAGATTTAAGCTTGACCCACCTCTAATAATAATAATAATAGTGTGATTGAGCATTCCAATCTAAATTCATGTTGTTTTAGTATCATGTATATGCTATTACAGTTAGTTCATATTTTAAGCTTTTATTTTTATACTTACTGTTTTTATTTTAATGTTAGCACAATTTTTAGTAATTTTGTTAAGTGCTTTTGTAATTTTTATTAGCTTTTGTTTATTTTAAATTACTATTCAGGTTTAATGTCACTTTTAAAGGTTTAATTTCACTTTTAGTTTCGGTTTAGCTTTAGTTTTTGTTGTAGTTGTTTTTTTCTTTCCAGTTAGTAATTTTAGTGTTTCAACTTAAACTATAAAAAAAATTAAATAAATTCAGTTTAGGCAACTAACTGAAATGAGTTTTTCATTTAATCATTTTATTTTATGTTTTAATAGTTTTAGATTTAGTTAACAATAATAACCTAGCCCTGCCTTGAATATTAACATGCTGTGACGGTTAAGAACTAGCACCATAGAAAGTATGTGGAGAAAAAGCCTCACCTTCAACTTGCCCTTGTTAAAGGCACACACAGAGACCTGGTAACCAGCGTGGCCAACATCCACGAACACCACAGTCCTGGGCTTTTCCTCAGGAGCAGGCAGGTCCTGTTTGTAGATCCCATACGCCAGCGCAACTACAATTACAGTTAACACATTAAACTCTTAAAACTAAAAGTAGAGTTAAAGAGTTATATAGAAACACTTTTGCTTGTATTTTTAACGCTTTGGGGACCTGACGCAGTTCAATACATTTCTGTTTTGTTGGAAAAGGAATAGCTCAAATATTCAGCATAACTTTTTCCTTTGTGTTTCACAGAACTAATATAGGTCTGGCATGACATAATGACAGAGGTTTCATTTTTGGGTGAACTAAATGCATCTGAAGTATTTTACCTGCTGTAGTGTCATTCATGAGTCTGAGACAGTTAAGGCCTGCGATCTGTGCAGCATCCATGACTGATCTTCTCTCGGCATCAGTAAAGAAGCTGGGAACCTATGCAAGAGCATGAAAAAACCAAAAAGAAACAATAACTACTCACATTCATTACATAGTAACTACAACACCTAAGAAATAAAAACATGCATAATGCAATATTCTGAAAATTGCATCATTGATGTTTCTGGGACTGACAATGGAGCAGAACAAACGGCAAGAGAATCAGAAGAAGTGAGAAATGCTCAACTCAAAATCAAATCAGAGGCGAAAAACGCTGATGTGAGGTCAAGGCAAATGTATTCAAAGCAGCTTTACATAAAATCATAATGTTAATATATATAATACCTTAATATATTCACACCATACAGTCACATTTAGCAGATTAAAGTTAGACAATAATAGAATTTACATTTTGTGATGATACAAGCAATCAAGCGTTGAGATTTGCAACATAGTATGTATCGCCTTATGTGAATATACTTTATGTATGCAGATAAAATTAGACACAGACACATATACATATACATATATATATATATATATATACACACACAGCTTTGCAAAAGTGTACTGTGTGCACGCAGGTTAAGTATGATGTACTATATGTATCTAACTTTTAATATACAGGCAATAATAAAGTTTGTATTTCTGACAATAAAACAATCAAGCAGTTGAGATAAGAGTTTCAAAATCTGCCATTAGTACTGGAGTTTGACTCAGTTTGCACGCTTTCATTGTGGTTAGGTTAACAAAAAAGTGTATTTAACACACACACACACACACACCATATGATTACTTTTAGTATTCGGAATTTAAATCTGCCTTTTCCCAAGTGCCATCTATATGATGTTATTATTGACGGCCTCATATATCACAGCTCTTACAGAAGATGACCACACCACTCTTTGCATTTAGCAGTTCTAGAGAAGAATATTTTAAGTATACTTAGAAAGACAGAAGAGGCGTACAGAGATGACGCAGTCTGCCACGGGTTTCTTGAGCGCAGCTTCAGCGGTCTCCTTCAGTTTGGTCAGCAGCATGGCAGTGACCTGCTCAATGCTGAACACCTTCTCCTCCTCCATATACATGACCTGTGGAGACAGACAGCATAAAGCACTGTGAAATAGCCACAACTGAACAGAGCAGCTGTTACAACACACACGTGACTCTCTGGCACGATCTCTGCTGTTTAATTAGTCTTACCTTAATACCAGTGGTTCCAGTTGGCATCTGAGCGAGATCAAAGACCAGGCTGGACTTTGCCGCCTGAACATACGGGTCACTAAATGCCCTGCCATGGAATCGCTTAAAACCCTGCACAGTGTTCTTGCAGTTTGTGACCACCTTGTTATGGGAGCAGAAATTACCATTACAACTTCTCCCCATCCATGCAATACATTTTCTTATTTATTTAAAATAAATAAACATCTACCTGGCTTTTGGCGGCTGCCCCTATCGATCTATTACGAGGACCGAATGACACGAATGACCTGAAAAGAGCACATCATCACACATCAATTTAGAATGATCTTAATAAATCATTGTTCTTGAAACTTTAACTTCATGCTCCTTAAAAGAATAGCTTTTAAATTGCTGAAAATTTAAAGGCCATCCAAGATATAGGTGAGTTTGTTTCTTCATCAGATTTGGAGAAATGTAGCATTGCATCACTTGCTCACCAATGGATCCTCTGCAGTGAATGGGTGCCGTCAGAATGAGAGTCCAAACAGCTGATAAAAACATCACAATCCACACAACTCCAATTAACAACTTGTGAAGCAAAAAGCTGTGTGTTTGTAAGAAACAAATATATCATTAAGGCATTTTAACTCCAAACCGTTTCTTCTGGCCAAAATACCAAAAGTCCATTATCCATGATATCGCTTCCTCCAGTGAAAAAAGACATCAAAATCCCATATATTTGTTTAGAACTGTTTTGGCTTGTAAACGGTGCTTGATCTGTGCAGATTTATCTCCTGATTCAAACCAAACTACCTTTTCACTGGAGGAAGTGTTATTATGGATTATGGACTTATATTTTAGCTGGAAACAATGATTCAAAGTTAAAAATGTCTTGATTAATTAGTTTCTTACAAACATGCAGCATTCGGTTTCTCAAGACATTAATTGCTGGACTGGAGTGGTGTGGATTATTGTGATGTTTTTATCAGCTGTTTGGACTCTCATTCTGACGGCACCCATTCACTGCAGAGGAGCCATTGGTGAGCAAGTGATGCAATGCTACATTTCTCCAAAATCTGATGAAGAAATCATCTCATCTACTCATCTTGAATGGCCTGAGGGTGAGGAAATTTTCAGAACATTTCTTGGATTAACTATTCCTTTAAAGGCACAATATGTAAGATTTTTTTATTAAAATATCCAAAAACCACTAGAACAGTGTTATATATTTTGCTGACTTGTGTATTTACATTATCCCAAACGTTTCGAAGAATGTTTAAATCCAGAGAAATAAGCAATTTTAACTAGTGACACGGACCGTGTCCATAGTGTCATTGTGTCGCCTGCCAATGACGTCATAACCCCTCAATTTCCGGTTTTGTTTTGTAGAAAACATGGAAACACCAAAGA